TCCAAGTTGAACATAAGGCTTCAAGCTTAATGTCTAAATTCTTAGTAGCAATAGTGTTTTATTTTTAAGGGGTAGGGTTCGTAGCCTCACTTCCAACCTTCCGCTTTACTAGACGCTTATAACTGTGTCAACCAGAAAAAACTGAGCTCCAGATGTATTCTGCCTCTGAACCACCAACGCTATTTTCATGCTGCAGACTAATTTATTCTTGCCCTTTAAAATAATCTAACGGAAATGGGTGTAAGAAATTCACAGGATATTTCAGAACTATACAGCCAGAAGAAGAAATTATCTCAAAGGGAATTCGTTGCAGAATTTTCCCCTAAAAGAAATATAGAAGTTAGTAATAAACTACATAAAAATTTCCTGCAAGCGGACACTGAATTTATTATTGCAGTATGTTGGGTACAGACAGTGGAGCACATAAAATTGCTACATTTTGATAGCTCATCAAGTGACAATAAAAAAACGACTTTCTGAATAAATATACATAATAAGGCAGACAGCAACACCAATCACTATTCGACAGAAGACAAGAAAACATATAAGTTATTAACATCCGGTGTGTTGTCATGCTGCTAAAACCAATACGATTAAATATGAATATTTTGCCTACAATATTCTAAAACTACGTGGACAGGCCGGTGAATCATCGGAATGCCATAAGATGTTGAGGCTATATTTGTTTGCAATGTGATAGGCCATGATATTCTCTGTTCTTTATATCGTCCTCACGTGTTATAAAGTGATCAGTCTTATTCAATTATCATATACTCAGCAGCGTAAAGGGATATATATGTGTATATGTTAGTTTATGTGATGTTTGTAAAGACTAAAATACAAACGTTTCTGTCTGAAAACTGGTAAACAATCGGTGACTTCTGCTTTCGTATCGCCTACTGAACTTCTGCAAATGACGCACTGTCCAAAATTGTATCCAGATATTATCAAAAACACACGTCAATATGTTAGAATCTATTTTATTTTGTTTATATTTTATTCGAAAGTAATTGCCTATAACCAATTGCAAAACCACCTAAATAATACCATCCAGCAGTTATACGGTCCAAATGTTTCTCCCGTACAAAAAATATACGCAGTACAATAAAATTAACTGAACAAATAAAGCATTAAACTGTCACAGAATCAATAAGAATCTTCTCAACATGTTGACATCAAAACTCTGTCTACAAGAACTGAACAGAAAAAAGACACTTTTCCCGCGAGTAGTTTAAAGTCAAGTAGTCAATCCATAGGGTAGGCATTGACTCATTTAAACAAAGGCATCCTCGTAAAACAACAGATTACTGAGAATACCATAAAACAATGGCAAAGATAAGAATGAAAAATACGAATCAATCAACAACAAACACAAAGATTCAGAAATAAGTCAAAAAAGAGATGTACAAATATTAGAACAATAATGTATCTATCAAAGGGAAAGGGTAATAACTACAAAATTTAGTTGAAACATTCAAATGAGTATAACTATTGTAAATAAATCGTTCATAGTGAGATTTTCGCATCAACTATTCTGCTAAAATACTAAAATAACAAATAGTTACATACTTTAAATATGCGAGAATTTGAGTAAACAACTGTTTACCTTCAGAATTATAAATGACAGGTAGGTGATGTCCATTTTGTAAACAATTAAATCAAGATCAACATCATTCCATTTATTAGTTTAACAGTGTTAGATTAAATCTACTATGGTATTCTATCTCGTCAACTTTTGTGCATGTCTTTTGTTACCTCTACTGTACAACAAAACTCATGAATTGATTAAATATGGAAGATATATCGAGAGGAAATTATTGCAAACAACTTTTGTTTTTTGCTCAAATACTTCTTTGTTTTCTGTATATTTAAACAGAATTTCATACTACTGACAAAAATAAACAGTTAATTTAGGAAACACACAAGATCAGATTAAAAGTAAAATTGATGAAATTCACCTTGATTTATAATATTAACTTAGAAAGACACATCCATTTGGGAGATTTGCAAGGGGTTATAATATTTCAGAGTTGCTTTTAACATGATTTGACGCCAACAAGATAGTCATTGGGACTGAAAGAGTATTGGAAGACCACTGTACTGTAGATAAAAACTCTAAATTGGCGCGCAACTAAACACATTTAAAAAAATCAACCCCTAGACTTTCAGATTTTACAATAAATACACCCACTTAGAATAAGGAGACTAGTATCCTTCAATCTTTTTTAAATATCTCTGTATTTAGAGCTACTTTTTATAGACTTTTGAATGGAATCCAGTTTAATTAAAATAATAAAAATTAACTTAAAATAAGTGTTGTTTCTATTTTTGTTTACATAAGAGGGACTGAATAAAGACGCTTACAAAACACAAGCTTCCATTGGCACTTGGCTATCACTTTAGAGCAAATCGACAGAATACTGATGTTTTTAAGTTTCCATTTTGAAGAGATCTGACTACTTCCGAATTGAAATCATTTACAGAACTATCGAAAATCAGGTAGAATTAGGCAGCTATTTTGACCTAGTTCTTTACCCTTCAGTAGTACGAACTAATGACCGTGCTAAGGTCCCTAAGCTTTCGAGGTAAGCACGTTGCTATTCATCAAACAGGTCACAGTCTAGTAGCTTTTGTAACTTTCCGGTGGTCATATCTGGGTGCCTCTCAGTTTCTCCTCTTATTATTTTTGTCTCCATCTTTGCAGCTGATTGTTGTTTGCCTTTTTCTTCTTATCTCTTCGATTTACAAGATACACTGGATGACACCGTGATATCGTAAAAGCCAAATATCGATTTTGATAACTTTCTTTGAGTGTCTGTTACTATTTCTAACTATTGTAAAGGTTCATGATCAGTTTACGTGTGAAATCAACAACTAAGCCACTAAAATGGTCGCTAAACACCTCTTCAAAGTACAGAGTGATCTTACCAATCCGAATAATATTCATTTAAATTGTTACTGCTGTTGCTACTGTCGTATTCTTCTAAAGGTACCCGTCAATATTCTGAGAATAGAACCAAAATTGTGAATGGCTAATCCCTCTACGAAAACAATATAATTTTTCTGTTACGGTAAGAATAGCACATGGGTTTAGTTCGGCTCAGTTACTCAGCTCTACATCATTTACTTTCCCGTTCTTATGTATCAGAAAACTATCCGCTCCACATGTAGACTTTTCTATTCACCATATACATCACCATGCTTACTTACCTCGGAAAATTTCTTCCCAGTATTCTTCGCTATATACTATATGTTAGAACAAAACGGGGGCTTATTTTACATGTACTGATTTCTAAGACATAGACAGCATGTCCTCCTGGGGTATAAACTGCTCATGCACATTCCCACTACGTTTTGAAACTGTTATTTATCTACAACAGGAACTGTCACATCTGTGCCGTTGAAAAAAACTATTCATTGTCTATTTATTCGAATGCTTTCGTACACAGCACCACCACCTATTAATTATACAATCAGCAGACTAAAATGAGGAAAAGAAGGCAGATTGCATTGATGAAATCTTTCTACATCTTCGTTCAAAGCCATTGTTCGCTAGTGCTCCGTTCATCCACAAAATAAACATCTGTCAATGTGACCGATGCGGTTACTCGAATTATCATCCAGTCTTATTGGTTTCTATGAAGTTGTTCATAACTGATGCCACTATCAACTATATCATATCTCCAATGACCTTTGCTAGTTCGTTGATGCCTTCAGGTTGAGTTGTATTCACTTACTACAGCAGGTAAGTGATGATCTTAGAGATTCAATCAATAGGCTGAAAAATTAAGTGTTGTTAAGTGTCAGTTTGCAGTCACTTGACTAGTTAAAAATTTGATCAGGAGTGGACGTCAATTATGGAGCCATACGAAAAACAGGCACTCTTTGTCATTATGCACCAATTAGGGTTTATACTCATGACTTTCCGATTACAAGACGAGCTGGTAGACCACTCAGTCACTAGAACCAAATCCGATGACCCGTGAATTCTAACTTCTGACAATTTCAGACATTTAGCAAAACTGCCAGCCGATAACATCGGCGAATAAATGTTCTCCTGCCTAACTTGGTGGAACCCGCTGGTGACAATTCCTCACCATAACTCCAGGTAACCACCTCCTGAAATTACTTAATCGTCAATGAGCTTCAGATTAATCATCACTTGTTACTTTGCCTGGATTTTATTAGTTACAGGCTTTATGCCGTGTTGAGATCAGTGAGTTTTTGTCTTTGAGGCGCAAATCATGTCTCTTAAAAGTTCTTACACTTCTGCAACTATCTCTGCCATTCTGCTGGTAACTGGACTCGCAAATAAAAAAAAATCATATCTATATCTACAGGGGTATGTGGGAAAAAAACACCTTGATGGTGATATTGACAGAAAATAATACACGACTGAGATATCACATTACATTACTAACACAAGGATAGGCCCTCTATTCCTTTTTGTGCAAACAAATACTATAAATTATTCTGTATAGTAAGTATTCTGTCCTTCATTAGTTTTACTACCTTCTCATCAAAAACTCAACAGTCTTCTAGTATTTCTTATCCTGTGGGCTTTTGCAATAATCTGTATATTTGTCTTGGTTCTCCGACAAAGCACTTGTGTATTTATAAATAGCTCACGCCATGGATTCACACATTTTCATAGAAAAATAAACTCTTTGAGAAAATAAAGATTATCAGTTGACTACTTGTATTCTTTCAAATCACAATTTTAAAAAAGCATCATATATACACATGTAGGCGGAAATAATCATAAATGCATGTAGTCCTAAGGCAAGGGTGAAAGACTTTGCTAAAAACAAAGGTCTGGTGTACAAATCACTAACAATGAAGCATAATTTTTTAAATTACATATTAAAGGTGAATAAACAACTAATTTACAACTCACAATGTGACGTATTCTGCATAACAATCCTATCATAATATTTTTTTTTCATTTAAACACATCCTATTATTTATACCATAAGTAAGTATAAGTAAGTAATTATTGATTAGTTGAAATATATAAATCCACAACTAATCAGAATAGACTGTCGAAACAGAATAGATAATGAATGAGACAATTGTTTTATAAATATCCAATACCACCAGTCAACAGACAACATTACTGGAATTCCTGTTGAATAATACATGTCAGTGACTCTTTCATTATTAGGCAGAAAACCAGTATGATTATTGTTAACAGTTGGATTAACAATATTATGATCATGAATATTATTGTTGTTGACAAGTGGCGTAGTCATAGCAACGCCAACATTAACACCACTGGTGTCTGTACTTCTAATATGAAAATGGTGATTAGTTGAATAAGTTGTAGAAAAATGTGAAATATAATCATTTCCTAAAATTAATAACTGTGGATTTATAATCTTCATAATTAATAAACATATCTCATTTGTAATTAGATTAATTAATAACCAAATTATAAATTTTGACTTCATAATTTGATAGGAAAAACACTTCACCATTAGAACTGGTAAGCATAACAATGCTAGAAAATTTTCAATCATTTCAAAGCAGAATGTTGAAATAAGCAAATATTTTAGAAATAATAGTTCATATCGATGATTATACTGATGATGTTGATGAGGATTAATCATCTTGGAACGTGTTTGAAGAATAGAAGAAATAGGTAGAATAGATGAAACAGGTGTACTGGAAGGATAACTAAATTTTAAATTCTGTTTAGCTGGAATTGTAAACTGTAGGAAAATTTCAATAATTTGTATTAAATTATAACATACAGAACCGGTTAATTGAAATAAAAGAAGAAAGTGAAGTAGATTTGTTTTAAACCAATTAAAATTTTTCAATAGCACACGTGGATAATTTAAAATTCGTTTCAACTGTTTATCATGATTTAGCAAATAAGATAATATAATAGTCTGTAAAGCTGTTGATAATAAAATAAAAAAATAATTTAAATAACAAAACAGAATTTGTAAATAACTATGTAACTTATAAGAAAATAAATGTACACTCAACAAGATTATAGATAGTAGACTGAGTGTACCGAACATATATGGCTTCTTGAAATACGAATAGTAATGCATTTTCTTAGTAGATGGTGATGAAGAGGAAGGTAGTTGAGGAGCTGGTTGTTTTGTATCTTGTGATGCCGACGATGTTGATGATGATGATAACGAACAATTATCTTTCTCCCAGTGTACAAGACGGTGTCGTTTACTTCCTTTTCCAGAATCTAGAACAATGTTAACCAGTTTCTGAACATTCCAAACGACCCAAAGCAAAACTGTTTAATAGTAGCATTGGATTGGAGAACGAAAATTAACATAGAGGAAAAAACAAAAATGAAGTGGTATCAAGAGTTTCAAAACATATTTATTAAAAATAATTGCCTTATTTTTTAAATAATTTGAATAAAAATTTGTTTACGCTCAATATCCAGATTCCTCTAATCTGAAAAAATTATTTTCTGCCTCTAATTTATCAATTAAGAATCACTTTTTAGATAATTAAACCAAACAAATAAACTAAAGTTCCCCTTTTTTAAATGAAGCAGAGCACTCTCTCAATGCATATCTCGTAGTATATCAGTCAAAAAAAATATGTATTCACCAAAAGTCACCGGTCACTGAATACTTCAGTTCACTTAAAAAAAACAGCGGGAACTTTATGTACAAAATGAACGACTCCAGCCATTATTACAATCCTGGCTTACTGTGCAGCTTGCAGTTCCTTAAATACTTTATTGAGCAATGCATTTTATTTGTTACTATCTATCATATATATATATATATATATGATTTCTTCCTGTCCCTTACAATTATACAAACAAACTCATATTTCCTTAGTTTCTTCTCTGCTATTCTCCTACCTTCTGTTACAAACAAATAACCTTCTATCTCATTTTACTGCCTGTTTTTCATGTTATGATTTATTCAAATGACGTCTGTAATTAGACTGAACAACTAGGTACTGAAGGTAGGATATCATTACATTTTATGATATGATCATGAGTAATTAGTTGTTTTTAAAAAGTTATTCTGTTATCCATACTGTATCACTGAGCGATATCAAATAAACTCACTCAGTACAGGCTGAATAAAATGCAGTCATGAACAATATTATGTAAATTTATATATTCACTGTTATTTACGCTAATCGGCCTCGATATCTGCCATTCAATTTAGTAACACATTTATGCCTCTGCATCATATACACACATAATTTAACTTTTATCTAATTACAATCTATTGACATAAATATCATCTTAAATTTCTTATCTTTATGATATGATGTTATTTAAAAACACATTAATGTTGTCAATAGCAATTATTTTTAATAACTATTGTGGATACCAAAGTAGTTTTACGAAAAATCTTTCCTATCACAATAGGGATTGTTTTCTTCACAAAGCAATTTTGTAACTGCTATTGATTTTCCCTGTTTCATTTTTGTGTTGTGCCCATATTTTTTGTCTCCCGTGGAGTCTAGGTGAAGGAGGTTGTTTCTTTCAGGTTCTTCCCATTTATGCTTATTGTGGTCTGTTGGTGTTGTTGATGTTGGCTAGGAATCTTCATTATCTCTGTTTTATCTATGTTCACGTGAAGTCCTATCTTTGATGCTTCTTCTGCCAACTTGTTACTTTTCACTTGCATATCTTCCAGTTTATGGGAAATCAGACATATATTGAAGCTATGCTATTGAAGCTCATTTCAAATAATTCATGAAGTAATGAAGAAGCGGCAAACTGTGCCAAAGAAATCTTGCCAATAGGCACAAATCAGGTAGAGTGAATGTCATTCTACAATGACACACCAGTAAGATAAGTATTCACTATCTGGCTACTTAAATACTGTTAAATGTACAATAATCGCGGAGAATCCAGATGTAATTAATTTCCTTGTGAAATCACGGTGGTATCATTTTGTTCAGTGTATAACATCCATGAAGATTTTTTTAGGTTAATTTTGCATTTCCCGTTGATTTATTACACTGGACTGAAATGCTCGATCTGTGTCAATATTCTGGCTACTACTAAAGACTTTTCGGCTGTGTTCAAGGATTAATTTATAGTTATTTCTGTTTGTGGTTATTAGCAGTAGAATGCAGATGCATGTATTGGACCAGCCCCGAATAGGGCGAAATGCACAACCTGGATTTTACCGTTAGTTACCACTAAACGAAATATATCCTTGAAGATACTTATTCAAATAGGGATTCATTTCATGTGATATACATAATACTGTACTGAATATGACTAGTGTTGAGTATATAATACTGTATCACTGAGTATCATACCAAATGAACTAACAGATTAAAGAATCACATCCCATCTGAAAGCCTCTTCATATATAAGATAAAAGTACTTGGTCAGTGCAACCTGGCTTTAATAAACTTATGTAAAATTCACAAATGCATGTATATAAACGTCTAACTTACCTACAATGAATAAATGTGAGTGAGCAACAGCGTTCACTAAATAGGCCTTTGGATTGCGATTCACTTCTAAAATCCATAATCTGTCAAATTTTTCTGAGATCATAGGAGGTTATAGATGTTTTAATGGTGCAATGCGCGTGGATTCATATTGATAAGAATTAAAGGAAAGAGTCAATTGTATATTTTTTTAAATGTGATTTTATGTGAAATCAAGAGAAATTTGTTTTTTTTTAGCGGAACTACTTATTTATAATCAGTAGAGTGAATAGGTTTACATAACTTTATAAGCATAAGTTTGTTCTGAATTTCAATAGATAATTTTAGTACCTTTCAAATTAAGATCATTTGGTAATAAAACAAACTTAAAAATATTTATTAAGTCCAACCTTGGCTGAACAAATGAGGCACAATTCCCGATAACATGACTTCAAAAGTGATAGCACAGAATCTGTTTCTGCTTTCACTTTATTTTGTATTTTACGAATAATTTCTAATCTATACAACTGTTGCCTGATCGAAATCCCGGTGAAAAATTTTGTGATAGTATTTTCTAACGCCACAGAAGCATCACACACACAAACAAGTACCTAATATTGAAACACTGAAAGGAAGACATTTCCCATTAATCTTTACCTACTCTCTAGCCTGCTAATATGGAAGTTTATCTTGAGAGCTTCTTTAATTCACCCATGGTTGAAACTATGGATACATATTATACAGTATCTTAGTAAGAGGTGCATGTAGTTCGTTAGCGTCTCTGCAGAAACCTATGCCACAGTGAAATTTATTACGATTGCATTCGGACGTCAGTTAAACTGTGTCTTTCGTTTCAACTGTGTGTGTGATATTCAAACTTGCAATACCTAACAAATCGTTGATTTTACTGTGGCATTAGTTTCTCAACGTTCAATTTCCATCAAATCTTATGACAATTAAGCCAGGTTTATAGGCAACTACCTTTGAAGTCTAATACTTTAGCTGATATAGCTATGTTTGGGACAATAATGGTAGTAATTTGATGGTTCTAATGTACTCTACTGATGTAAGAGTAAGCACTCAGTGCAAGTTATGAACAGTTTTCATCTTATCATTAGAGTATATGAAAATTACAGTGAACACTAATGAAACTAGCCATATTAGGTCTAATTGCTGAAGACTATATGCACGTTTTGAAACCACAGTTCTACAATAATTAAATAAAAGATCCGAATACATTATGTAACTAGACGACTAAGAAAGTACTCAAAACCTGACCAATAACCTCGGTATTGACACCAAAATAAAAGAAGACTAATGCAGAACTTCAACTCTGAACGTATCAGGAACACGAGTGTACAGAAAGTCAATTTGTACAAATCAAGTCATCAGTTATAACAGAAACAATCTGAAGTAGCTGTTACACTGATTATGCACTTTGGAATTCATATTTCATGAATAATTCCCATTTGAACATTAGTAGACAGAAGACAAGTAGTTCAGCGAAGAGTCTCTTTTCGGCGAATTCATTTTCATAGCTGTACAATCGCAAATATATATGGTTATTTTGTGTGTGTGTGTGTATACATTAAATTTGTCAAACGAAAATACAATTAGTAAGTTCAGATGAATTGGATGTTGATAAGAGGATAGCAACAAAAGTGATGAGTTGTCAAAAACGATTGTTAAAGAGGAGTAAGTTCAGGTGAATTGGATGTTCATATAAGAGGATAGTAACAAAAGTGATGAGTTGTCATAAATGATTGTTAAATAAGAGTTACGTAATGGCATGAATAGTTTGATGAATGAGTTGTGCTCAAAGGGTGTACATGGAAACAAAATAATATACAGAATTACACAAGGGTTTTAAGTTAGAAAAATAAGCATACAAACAGAAGTAAGGTCAAATCAAACAAACAAAGAAAAGTTAGGTCAAATCAAAGGAGTAGTTACCATGCGAGTAGAAGTGGTTGGATAATTTTCTTTTGTATGCATAGTTCTGGTTCCTCCAACTGGATGGCTAGGGCTTCTGCGATGCAAAGAAGACGGAATCGTACTGTCTTTGGAAGGTTGTTCTTCACTTTGTAGATTACTTTGAAGGAGGCGTTCGTTGAGATGGAATGACCAGTATTGACGAGATGTTCGATTATTGCACTCCTTATATGGCCATTATTTCCTTTCTGTAGCCACGCTGGATAGTGTTCTTTTACCCTTTTAGACAGGATGCGCGTTGAACGACCGATGTACCTGGCTCCACAGCAACAGGTGAACTGATATATACACATAGAAGTGGTCATGTGCGGAATCTTGTCCTTTGGGTTTCTGCAGATCAGCGGGCGACTGGAGAACACTATTCTTAGTGTTGCCGCAGGGAAAGTTCTTCCTAAAGAGGTGGAAATTCTCCTTCTGAGGACGTCACTAAATAGGTCTCCTTTGAAGTCTAGGTTCATATAAAGTATCTTTTTTGGCACGGATGGTGTCTCTTGCTTTTGGTTTTTCTGTTTGATGTTTTTCTCTACAAATCTTGGTGGGTAGCCATTTTGTATGAAGATTTCTTTCAGGAAGTTTAGTTCTTCTTCCATGGTGTCGGAGCTGCAGATGCGTCTGACGCGAGTGGCAAGGGATTTAATTAGGTTTCTTTTCCGACTGATTGGTACCCAGCTGTAGAAACTTGTTAATTGTCCGTTCCAAGTCGGTTTCCTATGGATTGACCTTCTTAAAGTTCCGTCATCTCTCCTTGTAAGCTCAACATCAAGAAAAGGGATTTTAGATTCATTTTCAGTTTCCAAAGTGAACTTTGTGGCTGGATGGCATTTGTTGAATATTTGCAGTAGTTGATTGAGATCGTGACCGTCATCACAGATGATAAAGATGTCGTCAACATATCTAACGTACAACTGGAAATTGTCGATGGTTGATTTGAGTGGGCCATTCTCGAGGCTTGCAATGAAGCAGTCTGCTAGTACAGCTATGAAAATGAATTCGCCGAAAAGAGACTCTTCGCTGAACTACTTGAATTCATATTTCTCACAGACTCATATACTTCTTTCGCTGATACTTTGAACAAAGCATCCACTGGCTATAGAAGACACTACACTAACCAAAACGAAATTCTCCTTACTATCCATACTCATTAACACTGACTGGTAATCCAAAGACACTGCGAACATCCATTCTGTAAATCAACTAGGAAAATGAAAAATTCTTACAAAAACGAAACATAGAGAATACGTAGAAGTCAGATAAATTCACAGTCAACCTATAAAGGAAAAAGGCGATTTTCAAGGTAATATCAAATCAAGGGGACTATCAGTACAATAGAGGTGAAAACAACCATAAGGATATCTGCTTGAGCAACTAGTTATAGTCAGCTTCCTCATTCATGCGAAATTCAGACAGTCTATTTTGTTTTGAAATAAGCAGTGAAAGTATTCTGAAGAAGAACAATAAAAGCTCTACAAGTATATTTGATGTGATACGGATAAAGATGTCAAGCCCAATATAGAAAAGCAACGCAGACTTTTATCACTCCAAAATAAGTGTGGAGATATAGGCCACCTAGCACAAAGAACAACAAACTAGATTTTAACTTTAATGTTATGTAACTATTCCTGCGGGGTTCAGAGAAATTATGTATTAAAAAAGAATTTCTAATATCCTGCTGAAGACTTTCATCTCCAACTATCTGCACTCCACACTGGAGATCGAATACCCTAGCCGGGAAAGATAAATAACAAGGAATTATGGAAACGAGCCAACCATGAACCTTTAACCAAAAGAATATGCAGAAGGAAAAACAGATGAATAAGACACATGCTAAAGATATCGTTGAGTGACTTCAGGAACCAGGAACCAGTGTAACCCTAAATGGAAGGCATGAGTTAGGTGTCCAAGAAAGCATGAAAGAAATTATGTGAGTAGGAGATGAGACCTTTTGAACAACCGTGGAGCTAACAGAAAATGACTGCAGACAACAGACTGCGACTGGGATCTGTTATTGAAGTCTAATGTTCCACTAGGAACCAAGGGGACAAATAGAAATAATATAAATATCGGACGTGAAATAATGATTATACTTTGTCATATTCTGTCAAGCGATAGGCATATTATTTCACCCCTCACATAAATTGATAGTGCTTACATCAATGATTAAGGTGATTCAAGGACTATACAATAGTTTTACTCGTTCAACTCAAGGCTATCTGAATATCGGTCAAATTAATTCGATAAGCAAGACTAAATCATTCAAATCAAAACAATTTCGATCAGTTACTTACATAGAAGTATTATCCTGCATAAGATTTTCAGTAGGATCATTTACATGCTGATAAATTAATCTCATAAGAAAAGCATTTTATTCGGCAAAAACTGGATCACGGATTTTTCTATCGCTTATATAAACAGATGTTCATCTTCACTTTTTTTTCATCAATTTAAAAATAGCCTTACTTCCTTAAAAGTATAATGGCAATAATATTTTCATAAAATTGATACTCTGTTGCAATATCTGCACACGTAATATAGATCAATGATATTTTATAAACTATAGAATTAATTTTATTAATCCGTGAATTCCGATCAACGAGGAATAATTACTTCGTACTCTACAAGCCACTTGTCCATAGATGTTTGAAAACAGTACGATTCTCACGTAGTTACGCCATATATCCCCTGAGTATTGCGGAACGAACCAATCCAGATAAACGGAAGCAGAGCTGAAATCTTTTCTCAAGGTTTAGATAAACACTATGTATATATATACCACTTGTATAGTTTTAGGCTTCAAAATTAAACACAATTTTTTTGGTTTCTATCAGCATAAATTATCTGTTACTTTATACTCAGTAACTCAGAGTGATGTGTTCTAGCTATCAAGTTGACTTCATAGACATGAACTAATGTAGTTCTAAGAGTTTTCTACCATGTAGTGAAACCTTCTGTAGTGGTTATTCAAGATATATTCTTCTTACATTAAACACCACCTGGGATAAGTTAAAGTGTTAGCTCAAGTAATTACTAACGGAGCGCGACCTCATCGATGACCTTAGAGCACTTAGTGAGAAAGTTAGTGAAACCAGGCAAATAACATTAGAATCATGTATGAAATATGCTTAATGAGGTGTTTGATATCAAATAGGATTTGTGATAATTTTTTGCTAGGGTTGGGAAAGACTAAAATTAGGAATAAGGATTGTTCAGGGTTAGATTAACCTGATAAGGAAGATATAACGATTGATTCGAGTTAAGTTAGAGTTAGTTTTGGGATAGTTTTGCGTTAAAGTTATCAGACCTAGATAAATACATGTATAGAATATGATATCATCACTCTATTGACACACCATGGAAAATCTGGGAGTCATTTTTGTGAAGGTTTAGAGAAAGTTATCTTGTGTAACAGTTTCATATCTTTCATTCATTATTTTGATAAATGTCTTGATGCCTTATACTCAAAAATCGCTGATTTTCCCGTGATTGGTGCGCTGAAGGTCATTTGTCCGTTGGTACTTCCAGGTACTTAAAGTCTAATTCATCCATCACTTATGTAATAAACATCTCCGATTTCAGCCTTGTGCGTCGGTGTGACAGCGGTATAATGCTCACCAACCACTTATGTGGTCCAGGGATCGATCTCCTGCCAACGCACTCCTTTACTTCGCTAAGTCGGTAATTCGACTGGTCGAGAGAAAAGATTGAATATGAGGCAAGCGACCCCATCCCGTAAAATTGAACACCACTGCTACCAAAACTGCAAGCCCCTAGCGCGAAGCCCTATGTCCGACTGGAAAAGTAAAGGAATAGAAAAAATTTCAGTATTATAAAGGAGTTACCTGTTTTCAAGATCATTTTTTGGTAAAATCGGTCCCCGAAAATAAATCAAGACGTTAGAAAAAAAGTAGTAATAACCTGTTGTTAGGTGTGGCTAAGTGAAATAAACATGAATTTCGTTGATTCTTACGATAAGATATTTGTAGCCGGAAGGTCCTAGGTTCAAGCTCCAGTGCATCCTAAGAAGAGTCCAAACTAAGACAAAACTGCTGTCAGTACTCTTGGGTTTTACAGTTGTTCTTTAACAGATTTCAGTTCATGATGATGTCTTGAAAATGTTTTAAGTTGTCATGTTGCCTAACTCATAACTTTTGTTATTTTATTTCCAATAATGAAGTTTTTATTAATACACATGCATATATGTGTGCTTTATTTTTCTTTGCTTTGAAGTTTCATTCGTGGTTATTTAGGTTTCATCACGTCAGTGGGTTCCTAGCCCTATGATCACCTTTCAGTCTTTTTTCTGATCCTAGAGCTGGATACCAAACTAGGCTAACCGGAAAGGATAAGCGACATGGTACTACGGCAGACAGCGAACCAGTGATCAACTTATTGGCCAACAAATATGCAGAGAGTAGTGAAGATGGATTAGACCATTCCGTGGCATAGTCGGTGGTATAGCGGTTAGGACGCTCGCCAACCATGCGTATGGTCCGGGGTTCGATCCCCGGCCGGCGCACTCCTTTACCTCACTGAGCCAGAAATAATGCTGGTAAAGAGGAAAGGTTGGGCATGAGGCTAGCAACCCCATCCTGTAAAAATTAAACACTGCTACAGAAACTTCAAGCCACTAGTTTGGAGCCCTATGTTCCACTGGGAACGTGAAGGAAAAAATTATTTATTCCGTGGCATTACACGCTCCTGAGATGAAGCTAAATTCAAAGTGACTCTTAAGAGTTCAAAAAGGGCATGTAGGAGATCATTTGAAGAGAAATTGGAAGCTTGTGAGCAATCGATGAGTTAGCCGACCTAAATGCAGATATCCCACCGACTCCATAAGTTCCATTCACAAATCAACGAATAAATAATGAAAAATATTATTTACCTATAGAAACACTGATTTATGTTTCTTGCTGAATATTTAAAGAGAAATTAAATCGAGGCATGAACTTACCTGCTGAATAATCATCAATTTCTTTTGTTCTGGTCAGTATATATTCATGGTAGTGTTTGAAATAGTTTTCTGTGCTAATATAAGTTACGTAAAACCAACCGACTAGATTTGAAATTATAATATGTATAAATAAGAATCCATTAGATAATTTTAAAGATTTCTGATATACCTATTATGAGAAATAATAGAATGACACAGAAATAAATATCAGATGGGAATATAGAAGTACAAAGTGATAGAAATTTTTTTCTTGAACTATTCTTGGACATCCCAGGCTAAATAATCTTTGCAATAAGCGTCAAGAATGCAAAAGTATGAAATATCCTAACACGACACTCATATTATTAGCATGAGAGTCAGTAGTGAAGGCTTTAGAGACTATAATTACACTCACTGGTCAATTTCTAGTTTCATAATTTTGAATACAACCTTATCTTAGGGATAAACACAAAGTAGGTTTAACGTTGCACTTAAGAAATCATTGTGCTACTATAGACAATTACTCTTCCAGGAAGTATGGTTTTAAACGCGGTAAACATAGAGAATAAACTCATAGACTATAAATCTCAAAACTAGGACAACTAGGCAAGCGTTACAAATACTCATTGGGGGGGAGGCGGGAGGCACAGAGTAAGATGCGTTCAAATCAATGAATTTTCTTCATCTGTTAGTTTTACAAAAGAAATAACTGTCTGAAAAAATATCCATTTTTACACAGTTTATTTTCGTCTCTCTGCTACAAAACTCATGCAACCGGAAGTATATCACATATAAAGTTTGCTTTGTTCGTTTTTGAAGCAAACAAGAAGAATTCTTTTCTTCGCCTGAATAGAGTGAAATAACACACAACATTCAAAGTTACTGTTGTTACTATTTTTCTTACCAGAAGGCAAATACTGGAAATCATGCGGTTAAATTGTTAATGTTAACACTGAAGATTGATGAATCACAAGGAACTGGTACTAAATTGTGAAGTTATTTAAAAAGAAACAACCATTTACCAATACATTTCGCGTTATACGTTCCAAGCATCGAGTGGTAAACTTTTTCGTTCGGAGGCTTCCCCTTTACAAGATTTCCCTGGTAGTTTCAAGTTAATGGATACACATCACCAGTAATCATTGTATTATACTTGTATAAAGAAAAAAGAGGTGTCTGTGGCTCAATGGTAAAATGTTCTTCAGCTTTCTATGTGGTCCGAGTCCCACTCCTGGCCAACGCACTCGTAAAGCTCATCTAACCGATAGTAAGTCTGGAAAAGACGGAAGGATGGGTATGAAGCCAGCAGTCCTACCACGTAAAAACAATGACGCCATTTCTCATGAATCCTTCAAGCTCTACATGAAAGCCCTATGCTCCCCTTGGAACCCAAGGTATAGAAATGAAAGAAAGAGTAAAAGCGATAAGCGATTTCAGATATCAGCTTCAAGTTGTGGAAGTTTAATCCTGATGAGAATGAAACACCTAATCATTCTATTATTTGTAAATATATTTACTTGTTTTACTGTATTCGTTTCAACTGACAACATTGTTTTCACTTACCCGTTTTAATCGAATTACAAATGGTATTTGTATCACAATTAACAGGATCCATAATGCATTATTAATTAATTGTGACCAATAAGTGTAGATAATCTGTCGTTGAAATAAGTCAGTAGTTTTATTTATTGGATTATTCATGATTGTATCATTTAAAGTATTATTGTGATTTATGATTATCATTGAACTGGCTTGAAATCTTATCAGACTATCAGTAATTAATGTGTTTCTAACAGTATTATTATTGTTCTCCGTAGAACTGCTTCTCATTTCACCAGGTAAATCTCTTCCATTATAATGTTGATAACTACCATTCATTGCGATATTATTCGCATTGTACTGATGAGCATGCATATTTGCATACTGACTCCAAATGTTGTTAAGTAATGACGATTGCTGAAAACGATTCAAATCAGTATTCATTATATTATAGAGTATTTCAAGAAATTTGTCTGTATAATAGATAATGCTGACTAGGCTTCCGACTACAATGAACAAAAAAGCACAAAAAGAATAGCAAAAGAATTAGATAAACTCAGTGTCACTGAAAGTCATTCTGATCTGAGATAAAATTTCATCATGGTAGACTATACATAACTAAAGTATTGACATTGAATCATATAATATGCTAGTGTGATATTTAGGTAATATGAAGACTGAACATTTTTCTTAGCACGGGAGATTTTGTTTATATCAAAGTCGTTTTTTCCAGGAAGTGTTGAAGTTATTGGGAAGATTAAGTATATTGACAAATGTTAGTTTGTTGGGATTTGATTAGTTTCAGGTTTGACCGAGAACTGGCTTGAAGGTCCTACTATGAATTCCTAGTACGGTCATGGGTGCGTATTAGTGAAAAGTCTCAGACGTGGACAAAATAACCGACTAGTAATCCCTGGTTTTCAATAGTTCTTTAGATGAAGTCATTTTGTTGTCAAGGTTGGGGTTCAGTGAAATAACATCAGAAACTATTCAGTATGATAACAGAAAGTCTCAAAAACCAGTTAAACAAAAGTGGAATGTTAAATCTGTGGTGAACTCATCGATCATGTACACACTCCTGCTTAATTTAAAGATCAGGCTTGAATTATTCAACAACCAAAGTTTTCGCTGTTTTAAAGAGTTACAAACGAATGATAATAATACCAATAACATTACGGCAGATCATAAAATCAATCTTGGACTAGTAAGGTAATGATAATCCATACACTGTACCAGAAAATTTAATATGTATAACCTTTTAATAACACACTGGGGTATATTCTTGTATACTTAGTACTAAATCATTTGTAAGGAGTATCTTCGTAGATTAATTTAACATTTATTTTGTTATCAAATTTAACTCAATAAGTCCTATCGCAAAGTACCACAAAAATCCGTAAATTTAAATAGACTCTTTTATTAATCGGTTGGAGGATTTCTTGTACTAATTATTCCTCCTGCATGCATGTGTGGTTCAATGGTAGCATGCTTGCCAACTAGGCACGTTGTTCGGTTTCGATTGATAGCCAGTGAACACCTACACCTTGCTTAGAAGTTAGTAAACCTATTTACGAGGGAACGTTAAGTGAGATGCTAACAACCCAACCCCATGAAAACAACAACACGACTATTTAAACTTCATCTCTCAAAAACTTGCAGCTACAAGTTCCATTCAGAAGGCAAAGGAATGAAAAAAAGTGTGACTTTACACAAAGTACGATCATACACGCATACATACATACATACACACATACACACTTACAAAGACGGAGAAAATCAAGATACCATTGTATTTAGTGCTATTTATAATCAGATATAAGTAGTATATCAGTGAACGAATTCAGAAACGTGACAATATGTTTTGCGGCACTGGAAAAAGAAATCGAAGAAGAGAACTGTGAGAAGAACGTTACAACAATGTGCAGAACCCGACAAGTTATCAGATTCGATTATATTCAATCAATTTGCAAATGATGTACAAATAAAGACTTAAAGGTAAGGTACAAAAATTCATGTACCTAAAATACGTTTGTCCTAATAGGCATCGCACTCGAGCCTCCTTTGTCTTTTCCTCCATACACCATCAAGTGATGCTTACCTACGAAGGGTATTTCAGAACAATCAAAGAGAGCTATGGAGCGTATGAAGGAGGAAATAAACGATCAGGAATGAATCTTCTTACATATGTTTAAATCTTGGACACTATCATATTAGCTTAGTTTATTATATATATATATATATATATATCACAAAATGAAACAGTATTACTGTTTTGGATGTCATTTTGAAAATAATTTGTTGTTCAAAGTGACTATTAAATATATTTTAACGACTTTAACACTTGATTTACCTAGTCCCAGGTCTTTTGGGGACACAAAATGAAAAATAATCGTCAATCAAGAGGTGATTTGGAAACTACTTCACTACTACGGGGTGCAGCGAAAAATTATACACCTCATCCAACAGTTGTATGACAATGCTGCATGCTAAGTATTCTACAACGGGAAATTCACGGAATCCTTAGAAGTGAAGGCGGGAGGAAGACAAGCTGGCGGCTTGCTGTCTCTGATGATTTTCGTGATTGCGGGCGGTAGACTGGATAATGCGCCAGACAACGTGTGACGAGGAGACAAGCATAAAATGGAACCACACAAAAAACTTGGAGCCTCTGAACTTCCTTGATGATATATGTTTGATTTCCCTCAAACTGGAAGATATGCAAATGACAATCAACAAGTTGGCAGAAGAAGCATCAAAAATAGGACTTCCCTTCAGGTGAAAATAGAGAAAACAAAGATGCTGAAGATTCCTGGCCAACAACAACACCAGCACCAAAAATAGAAAACAATCAGCATAATTGGGTGGAATCTGAAAGAAGCAACCTCCTTCACCTACCCACCCACCTGGGAACCATCGTTTCAACTACAGTCTGACGGAGCTGAGGAGAATATCAAAGCGAGAATCGAGAAAGTAAGGCAAGCTTTCATTACTCTCAAGTCTGTGTGGAGATCAACAGCACTCAGGATGGAAAATAAGATCTAGATTTTCAACCTCAGTGTGAAGTCAGTGCGACTCTATGAGGATCAGAGACTTGACGCTTCGCAAATGACACTTCGAACAAACTACAGACTTTCATCAACAGCTGTCTTTGCTCAGTACTCAAGATCAGATGACCAGAAAAGATCAGAAATAGTGAGGTATATCTGAGAGTGAACCAACCAGAAACCGATTGTGCAGCAAATAGGCAGGAAGAAGTGGAGGTGGATAGGCCATACTCCGAGAAATCCATCAAGCGACATCATAAGACAGGCTGTTTCTCGAGTGAAACCCGTATGCGGAGCGGCGAGTTAGTCATCAGTGCGAGGGTGACATGGAGGAGGTCATGAGAAGAGGAGATGCAAGCATGTTGGCAGACGTAGAGCCAGGTGAAAACGTTGGCAGAAAACCGAACGCAATGAAGACGTGAGTCTGAAGCCCTGTATCCCTCTAGGAACTAAAGGAGACAATAATAATACTTAGATTCTCATCATTCAATGAACTAATTTTATATCTTCAGGGCTGTATAGTACTTTATATTACAGAATTTCTTCTGGTAACTGCTAGACAGAAACAACTAGCAAGTTTCGTGAAACTAATTATAATCATGAAACCATGACAGGAAGTGAATGTGATTAACAATAAAATGTCATTAAAATTGTTCTAATTTGTGGCAGAAACGGAAAACTGTTATAAAAAAGATCATAAATTAGTAAACTTACCATAAAAACATCCCTGAATTATATATTCACAATTTAGATTTAGTTTAGGAGTGGTCTGAACCATCTTCAAGTGACGGTTATTCATATTATTATTGTTATCATTCTTAATATTAGAATACATGCTGCGTTTTTGATTACTGAATCCAACTTGTGGTTGTGTTATTCTTGTATTTTCAAAGGTCAAAAGTTGGAAATACTGTGAATTATCTGGTTGAGAAATTTTGTTTATTTCTTTAGAGCAGGTAAGAGTTGTACTGTCCTGCTTTACATCACTCTGATGAATAACTCGATGTGGTCTGTGATGTTCAGCCCTGTTAAATATGACTCTCTGATTCAATCCGCGTCTCAGCAATAGGTTAGTCGTATAATTCTGACCGTAATGAAATCGATGAACATTATGTCTACTACTTTTTACAAGACAACAATCACAAAATGAACGACATGCTTTGCAATAATTGGAAATATAAAATGTCATTAAATACATAAGTTGTCCAAGCAGCAGAAAATTAATGAGACCCTGCAAGGTAAATAAAAGAATAAACCGCTGGTAGCATTAAGTTAAATTATATGATTTAGATGCGACTAGAAGCTTATATATATATAACATTATGGTGTGCAAAAGATAAAATCCATCAGAATAATTTCAAATGAAACCTGCGTATGACTGCTGAGATATCTTCAGCAAATAATCCACTAAGGATGCCGCAGCTGACAGATAGACTCTAGTCTTCTAACTGAACTGTCGTTCAAGGTATTCTGTCTAATCTTCTAGCTATCTATCTTGATAAGTCTCTAAAGTTCTATTCTTGTCTGAATTACCTTCGGTTACCATGTTTTTAGGATCCATTTATTTAATAAGTCTGAGCCACTAGTGGAAGTTAGCCAGTGCTGCTTGCTACCTTTTCATAGACTCCGGCTTTTGTCATCTACAATCATTTTCAATAGATGCGGAGACTTTTTGATCAGTTTTTATAGTTTGTTGTTTATTTCGTGAACAGACATAACTAGCTTTAATGTAGTTGTGTTCTCTGACTTTCGATTTAAAGTATGCGTTGAAGATGTTCCCTGAAAAGGCAACAAAAGCTTCTCAATGAAACCATCCAGCTTACCAATAACATCCATCTGGACTGCAAGTCCTCTCTATCATGTATGAGTCTCTTTTCATTCATAACTTAGAATGAGATACATAAATCTTGCAGATTGTCAGTTGTCTTCACTAGCGGTTCTAGATTGAAACGGATGTGATACATGCTTTTTCAGGATAAAAATTGCTCTCATAATCAGATATCTGCTTTGTCACTTCATATTTACCCAAGATGCAAGCTGGCACTGCCGACTAACGAAACCAAGAGCTTTGAATTTGAGCAACTAATGTTACTCGTATTTTCTGTATAAAATATTTTAAATGTGACGAAAAGTAGGTAAGGAAAGCGGGAATTTTGCATGTATTTGCGTCCACAATACACCTAAATTAATAAAAACTGTATTTCATTTTAGCTTTACTATGATGGAAGGATGAGACCGCCATATTAGCTAAAAATATAAGAAATGAAATATGAATCTATTGTAACGAAAATTAATTTTAATGGTACTTTCTTTATATTGAATGCTATATAACTTGGTAGACTAAATTTTTGGTGTACCGTTCCTTTATGATTTATTTTAATGAAACGTTTTAATTTGACTGTGATACGCTTTTGTTTTTTGGCTTCCCGTCAAATGCATTAACAGCTAACATTTTTGTAACTGAACGACAACGATGTTTCTAATTTTCTTTTCAGAGTTCTATCATTACAGTAGATAAAATTGCAAGAGACTGTTACTCTATTTTGCGATTGTGTTCTACATAAGTTCTCAACCTTGATGATGACACACTATCGATAAAAATAAAACACATTGATAATATGTGAAAAACACAATTTTCGCCATACAGCCAAAGTTAAAATGTTGTACCTCCTCTAGGGTTATACGAATTTCGACACGTTTAATGGATAAATAATATACTACTCACCAAACCCTCACAAGGTCTTTGCAGTGTATTTCTGAAAAGTACTAAAGTAGAAAGAACCAATAATATTCCTCTTAGTAAACTGAATGATGCAGAAGGCACTAATTATGCTGTACTGAGAGTTAGTCGATAATGTCATGAAGCTTCGTCCATCAAAGTAGCTAAGACATGTGCTACATATGTTGAACGATGAACTCCCACAGCAATCACTGTCAGCTTAGGAAGGATTAGGCTGATAATTAGTCAGAGATGGTTACACGAAAACATCATACCACTGACTGCTGTTCTAAGTCGTAAACGAGACTCCTAAAGATGTTAGAAACCATAGTTTGGGATATTTTCGTTGGGTGACTCAAATTTGCATAAAATGAATTCGTTCCTGATCGTCTTTTAGATCCGAAAAATATTCAGTATGTTTCAATGAATTATTCTCTTTGTTGCATCCGTTTATGTCTACTGTAGTGTCGCCATGTATCTCTTCCCCTGTCTTGTGGGCATTCACAAAGTACAACAGCGTGAACTGACATATTACTGTATCAAGTTCTATATTAATCAGTCAGACAGTCAGTTCTCTGATTTGTAGTGATAGAGCAGATGCTAATCTGTGGGAAATTCTTCAAAAAGCCGAACAATCCTCCAAATATCTGTCAGTCAAACCTTAAACTAAAAGTTTTTTATCTCTGATGATTATAAATTAAGATATGAAATGATTCATCGCCTTAGATTTACACCAAAATGGAGAATTTTCATCTTATAATACTTTGAGAAAGCTATTAGCATTAATAGCGAAACGTCAGTAAAAACAATATCGTTTTGTGTTTCATTCATTGGGAAATACAAAAATCTCTATTATAATTTTCATCTTATTTAATTAGGAGGGCAAATTAAGTTGACAGAAGGCAGAACTCTTGGGGTATTAAATTCCGTCCCAGTAGCTGAATGGTCCTGTAATCCTATGGTCCTGGGTGGGATATCTAATGAGGCGATGAGTGCTTACTGCTGAAGAGCTCTAGTTTTCAGTTATTCTCTAACTGGTACAAGTGCATCATTAGACCTAGCACCATTCAAATCTCCACGTGATTGTCGGAGGTCAGCATTCCATTTGCCAAAATAAATTTTTCAAGATAAAGCAAAGCACACATTAAAGAACATACACGTAACCGCAAATCAGTGAACCTGAAATCTGTCAGCTCATCAGTTATTTTTCAGTGTTTACGTATGTGGATGGAATTATACTTCGTTAAAATAGACAAGAGAAACATGATATTCAATCAAATCCCTACAAACCAACACTTGAATACCAATAAGATGCTCACTGGCGACTGGCCCTATTCAGGTAGGTAGTTACCTGGGTTCCAGTGGGAAGTCGTGACCAGTAGGGTGCAGCGGGTCGGGTGTGAGGACAAATACTCGCCGAAGACATTGGCTAGCGGTCGCGCTATGTCGTGAATTGGCAGAAGTTAGAATTCAAGGACCATTGGATCGGGTCCCAGTGGCTTAATGGTATACAAGCTCGCCTTGTAACTGGAAGGTCCTGGGTTCGAATCCTGGTGGGTGCGTACTGCTGAAGAGTCTCAAACTGAGACGAAACAGCCGTCCAGTACTCCCAGGTTTTCCAATGGTTCTCTAACTAATGTCAGCTCATGAAGAAATCCAGAACTCAGAGGAAGGAAATATGTTACAACAGCACTTAGAAACAGGCATAAACACTGAATAATCAACTTTTAGTCTTATTCCAAGCGATTATTAAGAATCAATCCCAAACTCACCAAATCTTGTCACCAGATTATCCGTAAACTGGTACCGGAGTACTTACTTTCCTTAGTGCTTGCTGCTTACACAAAAGTTCCAGGTCCACTGGCTTACTTCTAACTATAAATATTTTCATGCAGTCGCCTTTTTCTTGCTGATTATTTTTCATTCCTTGAAGCCCATAATACATAATAATCTTCAATCATGAGGCAGAAACTTCAGGTAGGATAGGACAGCGAGAAAAGGGTTACAGTTATGGTGTCTTATGAGCACAATAGGACAGAACAGTGCTGATACTAAATAATATCATCAACAATGCATTATTGAAAGTTTTTATATTTAACAGCTGATTGTAAATAGTTCACACTTTTAAATATACTTTGTCCATTGTAATGCTGAACTAGAAATGTATGGATTGGGGGATTCACTGAGTTACTTTGATTCAATCATAAAATAATCCGTAATGGAAAATTCCGAAATTTAAAATAAAAGTAAATATTTTACATTAGTGATTGTAACTTACTTCTAAAACCAATGACACTGAAGTGTCTCCACTGACTTTTGCACAGACTAAAAGAAATCCCAATATGGTCAATAAGATACCATAAATCATTTTGATGAGATATTTAGCAGACTTACTAAAACGTTAAAAAAAAGAAAAAAAGCGTACACACAGGAATTTTAGTGTGCAGTTTTAATGTGGTTAGTGAAATATCAACATAACGCCTTAAGAAAGCAGCAAAACTAGAATTCATTGCAACAACCGTCCCAATGTTTTTTTCGGAAAATAAAGATAAACTGCCTAATTTTTACCTTCTTCATAAATGTCATCTAGTTTGACTGCTGTTGTTGATCCAGTTACATTGAGGTTGCAGTTAAGCTTGTTGATTATCGGATTTCTGAACATCATCCAGTGCGGCTAAGGGAGTGGTGAACTACAGCTTTTCTTAACCTTGTTTGAGCTCTGCTTGTAGACGTTGAATATAAAGTTGGTGTTAGCAAGACATTTCAAACTATCAAGCGTTTTCTAAATGACCTCAATTTCATCTTACGAGTTCGTTTTCACACATAACTGGAGCCGTTGGAAGAGAAATATAAAAGACAAAATCATGAGACAATTTCCTCTTCTGTCTAAGCTTTTTACTAGTTATTATTACTGTTATTTTAGCTACCTTTGATCGTTATATTAATTTTCTTTTTAATCCCATCTGATATCCAACTCCACACTGCATTTTTATGCGTATTATTACTTACTCTTGCTTTTGAGCTGTATTTCTATTGAAAATGGATAAGAAATCTATAGAGATACCTAAACAAAAACAAATAAATTCATCCCTTTCATTGATTCAACTACAGGTGACATGGATGGGGGCGTCAGTGCCAGGGTTAGAAACGCAAAGCAGACCTTCATTAATCTGAAATCACTCTAAAAAGCCAAAGCACTCAACATCAATAAAGAAATTCGGATTTCAAACGCTAATCTCAAGTCATTGCCTCTATATGATTCAGAGACTCAGCTTGTTCGCTACCAAAAGCGCTCTCAACAGTCTGCTAAGGACTTTCATCAGCAGCTGTCCTTCGTACATGTTAGTGATCAGATGGCTGGGAAATATTAGCAGTGGGCCAACTAATAACCTGTAACCCAGAAAAATATGCCAAAATAAGTGTAGATGGACGGGATGTACTCTGAGAAGCACATCGATAGACATCACACGCCTGGCCTTAAATCGGAAAGTGAATGGAAAACAACAAGCCGGGCTTGGGTTCGAGTGGGACATGCAGCAGATGGTGTGAATAAAAAATATTTTGCAGCAAGATAAAGTGGGCCACAGAGAACAGAGTTAAATGCAAATATGTTGCTCTGAGTCTATTGGGAATCCAAAGGAATATTATTAATAATAACAGCAATTATCTTTGAAAAGAAACTACAAATTTAACTGGAAAAATTGTGATGTTTAAGTAGTACTTATAAATTCATAAGGTATTCATTTTAATTCCTTGATAGGTTACTAAATATGTACATTGATTAATATCTAAACAATATGCTTAACCATAGCCTGATTGAATGATTCTGAAATTAAGTAAAAATAATCTCATAGATTTTAGAAAATTAAAACAAAGCTTGCATTCCTCTTTTCTGTTGTGTAAACCACATTATAGTCAAAAGATTCATTCGGCATACAAAACTAACCTTTACAAACCAATTATAGAAAATTAATCTGATGCTCGCTAGTGACTTGCTACAGAATGGAGTTTCCTGGAAATCTAGTGAGAAGTCGTGACCAGAGAGGTGCGTCGAGTCACGTTTGAGGATGGATGTCCCACCGATGAAATTGGTTGGGGTCGCGCTAAATCACTAATTGGTAGAAGTTAGAATCCATGGGATGGCCACTGAATCGGCTCCCAGTGGCTGAATGGTATATGAGCTTGCCTTGTAACAGGAAGGTCCTAGTTTCGAACCCTGTTGGTGGATACGTACTGCCGGTGATTCCCAAACTAGGATGAAACATCTGTCCAGTACTCCTGCCTGCTTTTCAATGGTTCTCTAAATGATATCAGTCCGTGATCAACTAATAAAACAAAAATAACCCTTACAAACCAACTATAGAAAATATACCTTAAGTAATTTTATAATGTGCAGATTTCTTTGGAATATTTATCAAAAATACAAGCCGACCAAAATTTGAAAATTAATTTGATTGGTAGGAATATGCTTTAAAGAGTTCCTGTGAAAATGTCGAGCTTGCAAAAGTTTATGAACCTATAGAAAGGCGTGCAGAAATAAGCCTCTATGGATAAAATTTCTATAAAAAAGCACACGCTGCATGGCAAGTATAAAAAGTCTTTAAGCCAATTTATTTTGGGGAAACTTTAATTCTTGAAAACCAACTCAACCACATATTTAATGGTACCTTTATTATACTCAAAGCTTTTCATTATTATCGACATGTTTTTGGCTAAAATATGGAATGTGCATTGTGGTTTGGTTTTGTTCTCTGAGCTGGATGGTTAATTTGCGAAGCTTTCATCACCCTACTGGGTGACATCTTCAACGCATACTTCGATGTGCATTGTCCACTGCATATATTTTACGCAGTACTACAATTAGAAACATGCGCTTTGTACACAAAATCCACACATGAATTAAGAAATCTATTAAATAAGCTAACAATGTGTGTCGGTGGCTCAGATGAAAAGCTACTCACCAAACATGCATGTGGTTCGAGGTTTCGTGTCCAGCCGACACACTCACAAACGTCGCCTAACCGACAGTAAGCCATTTAGAGAGTGAAGGTTAGGTTTCAGGTTATTAACCCCACCCCTTTAAACCAGCACTGCTACCGAAAATTAAAAGCTCAGACATGAAGCCCTATGTTCCACTCGAAACGCAAAGGAATAGAATAATTAAATACTAATAGCGTTTGCAAATCACACTGTACTTCTTTTTTGTTTGCTTAGGCCAAATTCATACAGTACTAATTTTGGCCAGTCAGTGTTTGAAAGTTGCAGCATAGAAAGATGTGAGTGAACATTATGTAATGAGTATTAGTCAAACAGGTGAATTATGTAACCTGATTTAACCTTTATTCAATATAACTCTGGTCACTGACACTTGAGTTAACTATCTGTCCTAATAGATTCATTTTGATCATGTTAGTGTTTCAGATATTTTCTAAACGATCAGATTTACTTTAAGAAAAAGTAGTATCATCGACAAAGAGATAGACTATCTCATATTTTATGCTCGGGAATTCTGGTCCTATTTTGAATGTAGCTCAACACAGAGTCAGTGAGCGATAAAAACGTCTTGCATTCGACTCATGTTGAAACGTTTGGGGTTTTTACAGATTTTAACGGATTCCAATGTAGACTCCGTTTTAAATCGACAAAATCCCTACAAAGTCAAGAATGCTCACTGACAGTTGTGATGAGATTTTTTGGTAAGTAGGTTCAGACATATTGGGTGTTAAATTTGCAGTGACCATATGTCACGAACTGACAAAAGTAAGAGTTCACAACCTATAGAATTTCAGTAAGGTTGCCGACTGGTTAGGTGGGAAAGCTGGATTATTCAAAAGTCCTCAAGTTAATCGCTGGTGTGGTTGTGGACGGGGACTACCGAAAAGTCGCTGAATAAAATGATATGCCTGAACGACGTTCATGGTTCTCATGGATTCCTCAACTGATTATGATTCTGAACAGAATCTACAACGAGATTTTCACTTAGTGGCATCTAATGAATAACTAATGTAAACACATTTCAGAAGTGTTTTATTATTCAGCAGTTGCATAACTAGTTGACAAAATCAATAGATTTGAAGTAAAACTGCTCTATAAACGATGAACTTCATAAAACTAAGTAATAGAATACTGAAGGCAGCATTTTTAATTGATGTAAGCAACAAATTTTAAAATTACCACTGCCTGTGGAAATAAGCGAAAAGTGACTTTACCATGGTTCTGCTATTATCTGACAGCAGTAACGAAATTTATTTGCACTTTTTGTCCTAAGCTAAGTCGCCTATTTCAATCCACCAGTTTTACTAATCAGCTTAAACTTACAAAATGGTGTTATCAGTTAGTGAAATAGATGCATTAAAATTCAAAAGTGAATAATTTTCTCTTTTAAAGCAAAGTAAGTATCTTTAACTCCTAATCGATCCACTTCTAAACGTTGTCTACTATACTATGTAGTAAAAATCTTGGAAATAAGAGTAGGCTGAGCGTGAGACAAGCACCGTCCTTTCGTGAAAGCAATACCAGAGATACAAAAACTTCAAATCTTTGAGCTTTTAGCTCTATGTCCTATTCTGAGGGCGAAGAAACGAAAAAAAATATATTTTCGTAAGTTGTTTATGTTTTTTTTTACAAGGAATCGAATTGTTGTTTCTTTTCCATTAGTCAAGTAAACATTTTAAGACGGTAAGAAAGAGTGGGAGAAAGAACCTTTAGACCATAAAAATTTCTCTTCAGATTATCAAGTAACTCTGTAGAGTAATCTGTTTACTTCAAGTTTTGAAAGATTTTTATTATATATATATATATATATCCAGCAGTAATTAATTTAACTGTTTCGCTATCCCACACCTGTCAAGCAATATATTATTATAGTGTTTGTTTAAATCTCTGATTAGCTAGAATATTGATCATTAAATTTAATAAGTGGCGGTACAATTCAAAGTTTAATTTTCAGCCAGTAATAACGATTGAATAAGGCTAACTAATTAAGGTAATAAGACTTTACAATACACAAACTCAAATGTCAAGAATTCCTTCTTGAAAGTCAAACAAGGGGATGAAGTATGTGAAGTAGAAAATCAAAAAAAAAGAAAAAGAGAGATACAATTCACCAAAAGAGTTTAATTTTCCCTCTCCTTCATTTCAATATTCCTTTTGCAAAAAAATATGACAAAATTATAATTACTCATTTTTATGGTTGAGATGGTATAAGAAATAAGTTTTGTTGAAATAATTATTATTTGCGTTTTTTCTGCTCTCTCTCATTTTAGCTTACAAACGAAAATTATTCTAGCAAAAAATAAATAAGTAAAGAAAGCATCACTTTACTACACTTGTGTGTAGATGTTCTACTTTTCACTTTTTAAAATTGAGCGTTTTCTTCAACTCATACGACGAC